GATCAGAAGTCCAACTAGTTCAGCACTGTGTACACACAGTGCCAAATCAGTTGCGCACGGGATCCCTCAAGCTGGAGGGTGCAAGAGCTCCTCCTGCCCAATGCCAGCTCTGGTAAAGGAGGTAGCACACAGTCAGCAAGGTTAGTCACTGGCTATAGACAATGGGGCTCCCTAATTCTTTGAAGACTAAGCAGACACACTTTCAAAATACTATTCCTTTGGATCCAGTAGCTGGGTCCACTTCCTCCCTGCTCTACAACTTCTTTCAGTTCCACATTTGAGACTTCTCTTTCAGTGCAGGGGGAGGGTAGGAAGATATAGACTGGGGGGACATCTGTAGCCCTCCAGATGTTTTTTATCAGCCCTAGTTGCTGTAGCCAATGGTGAGGGATGAAGGGAGCTGTGAGCCAAAGCTTCTGGAAGATTATGAGTTGCTCACTCCTAGTTTGGAAGTATCAGTCTTGGGAACCTGCCTGCGGAACTCAGTCCCACTGGAAGGCTCCTGATATTTCTGCTATAGGCTTCAAAGATAGCACCAGTCTACCTACCAATATGACTAACTTCTGTGTATTTTTTGTATTCATAAATCTGAAGATGTTTTAACATTCTGTTGTACTTATTGACGTATAAGATCCCAAGGTGCCTGCTCCAAGCAAGGCTCAAATAATGCAATGGGAGAGAAGGCCTTTCCAGTGGTGAAAAGGATGATCTCGCTAATGAGGTCTAGCTAGTGCAAATACTATTTTTTTCAATACATTAAAACTACCTTCTTTCAGGCATTTGGCAGCACATGATGAGGTTTTAATTTATTGTTGATTATTTTTGAATCTCTCTCATTCTCCTCTCTCTCTCTCATATGTGTTTATATGTTTATTTGTATATGGTTTGTATAATATATCATTAAGACTTAGATCCCTGTAAACTACCCAGTGAGCTTTGGCTGTTGGGTGGCAATAAATGAAATGGTATATATTAAATAATTGTGATACGTAGTTCGAATGAATTCATGTGAAAGAGCTGCCATTCCTGATGCATGCATGCTGGGAGAGACTGAATGTATAGTCTAACGCATCTGGAAGGCACTGGGTTGGGAACGGCTGCTCTAGCCCATAGACATGTGATTGGGAAAGGGATACCTTTGCCTTCTGGAAACCACCAAGTGGATAAATGGTGTTAAGGAGCAACTCATCTGCATGACGTGATCTCAAAAATGCACCCTTTTGCTCACTCCCAACCTTGCCAGAGATTTCATGCATGACCTTGGGCAACCCACTTCGTTCTCCTGTGCTTCATCTTAGCCATCTGTAAAACTGGACTGACAGCTCTGCCCTCCCTTGCAATGGGGCCAACAGGCTTAATTAGTGGTTATGGAATTTCACATGAAAGGTGCTCTCTTAACTCCCCATCATTATAAGCAGTGGAGGGAAAAAAAGGCTAAAACACTCTTTTTTCTTTCAGTATAAATAAAGAACAATCAGGAGGGTGGGGGGGGGGGAGAGGAGGGGAGGGACTCTGGTGCATCACCTGCCTGTGAGCATGAATCTTAATAGATGGATGAAAGAGATGAGCTGGCATTTCATCATCAAAGCCATTGCTTTCATTCTTGTGGACTTGGGCCACCTCCCATCTGTAGCAGACAAATAGCAGACAGCAAGGTGGGTGCGGTGAAAAGGACAGAATTCCCAGAAGAGCACTAGGAAGATAAAGGTTCAGATGTGCCATGTGAGGCTTATCCATTCTACAAACAGCCCTTCCTGACCTGTAGCAGAATCAGAGGCATGGAAAGCAGGAACATTTACCAGAACCATAAATAAGAAAATGCATCAGCCACACAGGGCCAGCAGGTAAACAAATAAGGAGGAATAGCTGCCAAAGTGGCTGTGCGAACACGTTTGAGGGTGATTCAGAGCCACACTGCCTGGCAGTCAGGAAATCCAAGGCACGCCCAGTGAGACTTATTTGCAGCCAGGCCTGCGAGGTGGCACCAGCCCTCCCAGGCTCACTGTTGTAGCTGGTCAATGAGTCCTTGTGGGAAAATTGGCAGGGTCTTGTTGATGGCCATAGAAGCCTGGAGGCATTCTGTGCCAGATGATAGACTCTGCTACGCTAAAATTTGGGAGTTTTCTATACCAGAGTTTGCCTCTTAAAAGTCCCTGGTGGAAAAACAAACACAATACAGAGCAGCTTTCCTCAAACTGGTACCATCCAGATGTATATATTACAATCCCTGGAGGGCACTAGGTTGGAGATGGCAGGGCAGGCCAATTCCCTGGGTTGAAGCCAACCGAATCCACATTGACCACAGCAGCAAATGGCTGGAAGCACCCATGTCGCTTGGTGATAGAACCCCCATTACTCCTTGCATTGCACATTAAGTATTCCTGTATACTATTGGGCCACAGTGAAGTGTGCTTTCTGTGGCATTGGCAGCTCCAGGATCAACCACATCCTTTTATTCTCCAGGGCAACCTTCTCCAACTGGGCATCCTCCAGATGTGTTGCAACACAGTTCTCATACTTTTTCAGCTAACTTATTTCAAAATCATTTCCCGTCAGCTTCAGTGTGCAATAGGCATCAGGCACCAGTCACTGAAAAATCATACCACTTTATTTTTTAATATGTTCCATGCGAAAACCCAAAGCGTATTCGTAACTCCTTTGGACAGTCCTCTGCATCTTATCCTTTCTTCAGAGATCTTTGCTATGTGGGCTTTGCCTTTGAGAAATATGACATTTCCCACAGTTTAATCTTGTACGTCTTTTAACCTTTTCTCATAAGTGGTGGACTTTTTCTTCACTGCCACTATTCTTATTCTTCTCTGAATACTCTCCAATGTATGTATAACTCTCAGGGCAGAGACCGGTAACATTTTCTTGGTTGGGGGTATGCAAGCAATGCATATTCAGCTGCAGCAAAAATGGGAAGAGTGAAGCATCTTTTGAAATGCCTTTAACTTGAATTCTGACCTTAGATATGGTTGCAATAAGCTGGATGTACTGTTCCAAGTCCTAACCAGTAAACTAATGCTAAGTAGCATCACACTGTTATTTCTTGCCATCGGTAATGTCTTTGCAAAAAAGGGAATGATTCCATAAGAGCAGTCATGTTGGTTTGGACCAACAGTCTTAGCCCAATATCCTGTTACCACAGCAGTCAACCAGATGCACATGAAAACCCACAAGTGGGATACGCTTCCAGTCAATGGTTCCCATTGACTGATATTCAGAGAAATACTCTTTTGGATAAAGGAGGTTATATGCAGCGATAATGACCAGCAGCCACTGATAGCCTTCTCCTTCATCAATTTCTCTAATCCCCCTTTAAAATGATCCAGTATGTATCCAAGATGGCAGCAGTCAAATTATCTTGAGCTAGTGAATGCCACAGTTTGAATATTCATTCTATGAAGAAATATTTCCTTTCATTTCTCCTGAATCTCCCATCATTGATTCAATGAAGCTTTTTAAATTATGAGGTGTGTGTGTGTGGGGGGGGAACCCTTGACTTTTTCAACAGCAGGCATAGCTGTATACACCTCTTTTAATTACTCATCATTTTTCTAAGCTAGAGTGTTTTCCCCATTGTGTATGCATGTGTGTGTTGGGGAAGGGGGAGGGAGGTTCCAACTCGAAAAGATTTCTGAATCTTTCCAACTCTACAATATCCTTTTTGAGGTTCAAGGAACAGAACGTTATTGTATGCTACATGCGGTCTGCTCTGTTTTGCACTAACTGAAACACAGTGTGCAGCCAAAATAGTGTTAGCTCCCGGATGCTACTGCAAGGCGGAAGAAGAAAGATAGCATCACTGGAGAAACTGGCAATGAAATTAACAGAACCTACAAAACTGAAGGCTAATCCAATGTGCCAAGTCTCTGATTTGCAGAGCCCTGTGGTTTCATGGGATGTTTTGCATCACAAGCGCCTCTTCTTCAAATCTTACCTGCCGGCCTGGTGGGCTCTCCACGACACTCAAGATCAGTGTTGTAGTGCGCTAGCAAGAGTGCCTTTATTTCTTCTGCTCCAGCTAGATCTTTCATGTATCCAGCTTGACATAAATAAATCTAGCTTGAAATAGGAGGGGCAGCTAGACTGAAATATCATTGCCCATGATGCAACACTTCAAAACTGCCAATAAGGTTCATTAACCAGAATATGCTTTTTGGACAGCCTCTGTGGTTCTTTAACTGACATGCATGCCTGTTGCAACTTGGACAATTGAATACAGGAGTGATGAACCTCTTTCAGGCTGTGGGGGCAGGGGGGCGTATTCCAGCGGTGGACCGGGCCAAAGGCAAAATGGGGAGGGCTAAAATCCATATAAATAAAATCTAGCATTTTTAGCTTGACTCTCTTACTGCCAGTCACTTAGCCTTAGGAAAAGCACTTCTGCCTTTTAGAATGGGAGAAGTTAGAATCCTCTGAAAGACTGAAGGTTGGGGAAAAGGGGATGGAGCCATCTGGGAATCTTGGAAGGGCTGGACTGAGGGTTCCCAAGCAGGCTAGGCTTGGTCTGCTGACCTAATGTTCCACATTCTGGATCAAAGGTATGTCACCTTCCAAATCAAGGGTCCATTGCTGTATGAACTATTGCATGAAAGTCTTCTGCAAAGACAGGTTATTTCCCCTAGGACACCGCACATGCAACAGGTTTGCGAATAAGTCTGGAATCAGAGGCATATTTGGCAAGTTTCTTCTTTGTGAAGTTCATGGGACTTCCTATATCCAACAACAGGGTATCTCTACCACTGCTTATGTTCACAATGGTTGATTTGCGGGGTCTGTGGGGGTGTAAACCACATGGACACGAACTGTGACTTGCAGGATCAGCCAGCCACACGTGCATCTCACTCGTGCAGTGCAAATCAGTTTCATTCCACTTTGCCCTTGCCTCACAGTTTTTCCTCTTCACTTTGCTAAATTGGGTTTCTGGATTTCGGTGCCTGGGCGCACGGGACCCGCTGACATTTGTTTACTTTTGCTGCTTAAGGTAGCAGCAGCAGCAGCAGCCCTTAAAGCCAAGGAACTTATCTGGAGTTCAGACAACCTAAAATATCACTTGCTGGAAGGAAACGGAGATCGAGGCTGAATGCAATTTCCTGTGTGAGAGGCTGGAGGCAGAGCTGAACGGGATAAGGAGGGGAGGCAAAAACTTGCCCATTTCGGCAAGAAGGACGAACTGCAGAGATAAAGCGGGCTCGCGCGTCTTCCCAGCGATCACATTTCGTACTGAGGGAAACTTTTCTGAAGTAGCTGTAGTAAGTGGGTGGGGACAGAAGAGAAGCGTTTTGTGTTTTTGTGTGTTCAGCCCAATCCCCTTTTTGTGTGGAAAGGGGGCCGAAGACCGGGGGAGGTGGAGTGTGGCTCACATGGAGAAGACAATAAGATGACACTCGGCTTGTGGAAGCTCTGTTAAAAGATTCACCCCAAAGTAAGTCAGTCCTCTCCCATCCATTAAAAAAAATAGCTGATGAGGGGCGTGGGTGTATTTGGAGAGGTGTTGGTGTTGCGGGCTTTCGCCGAGCATCTGGCAAAGGACGGAAAGGTGTCCCGAGTCGAGTCTTGCGCCGGCCGAGCTCCTTGGGCGCACCGAGCGACCCTCGGGGCCACCTTCGGAGCCAGAGGGGTTGGAAAGCCCGGGCTGGTGGTGCTGATTCATCCCGAGAGAGAGCGCCTTGTGGGCCGTCGGTCGAAGGAGCGTCTTCACCGAGCTCTCTCTCTCCCTCCCTCCCTGCCTCCCCGCGTCTTTCTCCGCGTGTGGTGGCGTTTCCCGCAGGGCTCAATCCGATGTCCCAGGTGAGGAGCGGACACCCCAGCCGTTCTTCGGACTTGCTCAATGGAGACGCCCAGGTGGATCCGGCGCCTTTCTCATCCCCCAGCACAGGTAAGCGCGGGGACGGTGGCGGCTGAACTCAGTGGAGTGTCTGAATTCGTGTACTTCTGTACTCTAAAGCGCGTCGATCCTTTGCCCCTTCTTTTTCTTTTCCACATGTTCCCTTCTTCAAAGAAGGATCGTGTGAGAGAGAGAGCGAGAGCGAGGACCTGATTCTCAACTGCTGTAAACCAGGAAACCCCAGAGAGGGGAAGAGGCTGCCTTTTCTTTCTCCTCCTCTCCCTCCATCCCCCCACCCCGCCGTCGAAACTGCGTGTATGTATGAAGTTTTAGAAAGCTCCTGTAATGCGCGCCAGCTGGCCCACATTGTGTGAGCGTAAGCGTGTGCGTGCACGCGCGCACAGAGAAAGCGAGAGAGCCCTCCACACCCGCCCCCCAAATAATCACCGAGGGAAGGACGTTTTGGTTTCAGGCCCTTCGGCAGGCCCAGCGTGTATGGAAATTCGTATTTGTAAAGTTTTGCTTTGTTCGAACGCACACGCAAAAGTTGTATCTGCTTTCCCTTTGACGAAGCTTGCCAAGGTCGATGCTTAAGATTCAGCAGCGCCTTGGCTGGCCTCCCCGCCTTTCTCTGAGAGCTGAAGGGCGTTCACGGCAGCACGTTTGCTGGGGTCTTGCGTGCCAAAGGTCTCTCTCTCTCCCCCCCCCCCCCAGACCAAACCCACCATTTCCTTCGCTCCAAAGCCGTCTCTTACGCGCTCTTCTCTTTTGCAGGACGTGAACACTTGGCAAGGCGGGGGGGTGGGGGGTGGGCTTAGATTTGTTTCTGCCTGAACGGGCTTTGGTGGCTGGCGGGGCTTGGGGGAAGTGACGGGAAGACGCGAGTTTCTCACAAGAACTTTGGTCTTCCTTGATACATCGTGCACTGCTGGCGCTGGGCCAGCTCCTTGTGGGATTCAGCCCCCTTCCCCCGCCCCCTTCGCCGAGCCCTGATCATATTAAATTTAATAACATCCTCTAGACCTCGGCTGAAGCCAGGAAAGAGTTTTCTCCTTTGTTCCACCTAATCCTTTCAACAGATCTCGCTTCAGGCTCTAGAACTGGGGTGGGGGAATGAGCTGTTGCTGCCTACTAGGAAGCCGGGAGCGAGCGAGCGAGCGAGCCTTCCGCTCCTCGTGCGGCAGCGGCGGCGGCAGCAGCAACCTGGGCTCAGACTGCAGCTGGGCTTCGAGGAGAGCAGGGAGGTGCGCCGAGGAGCGCCGGGCGATTCCCAGGATGCTCAAAGCTGCTGCGTTAAAAAGCCCTGACCTGTCCCATGAGGATGGCCATTTTGCCGTCCCCAAGACCCACATTTTCAAGGTGGACTATCGTTTTCAGCCAGCTCCCTGAAGTTCTGATACTAAATAGTTTTGCAGCACATATCTGAAACTGCTTTAATCACATCACTTGTGTGTGTGTGTGGTGGTTTGGTTTTTTTTTTTTTTTTTTGCATCACTATGGATGGCTGTTTAGAGGCGGACAAATGTCTTCCCTGTGGAGTTTACAGCCTTGCACTGGGAATGGGAGAAAATGGGAAACAGGCAAATAAGGAACAAAACTTGATTGTTTCCGATAGATGGATGTAGGTTGGGTATCAGGCAGAAAGCAAGTTAATAGTGCCCGCTCGATGTTTTGGACTATAGCTCCCATCAACCCTAGCCAGGTAGGCTGGGAGTGATGGGAGTTGCTGGGGAAGGCTTTCTTCCATCAGAGTTTGTGTTCTTTAATATGTATGCTGCACCTGAACTGTGGTGCCTCAAACAACTGTGGCCTGTGTGTGTGTGTGTGTGTGTGTGTGTGAGGGGGGTGCTGTAGCTCAGTGATGAACACATGTTCGGCAAGCAGGCCACCTTCAGTCCTGACTTCTCCAGGTAAGGCTGGGCAAGAAACCTTGCCTAAAGCCCCGGAGAGCCTCTGCCAACAGGGCCACCAGTACTGGGCTTGAGGGACCGTGGTGTGACTCAGAAGACAGCTGCTTCCTCCATTTCAGTGGCACGGAGTGAACTGGAGTGACACGACTGCTTGTCTGGGAGGGCCAGTGCACATGACTACGCCACTGAACACTGCTCCCTTGCCCTCCACACTCACGATAAGCCTGCTTTTTGGCTCTTTCCCCATATAAGAAGCTGACAGTTCTTGGATGTCGGCTGCAAAGAACTGGTGGTGATCTACCATTCGATTATCTGCTCAGTGACAGAATCATAGTTTTTTTCTTTTCCCTTTTTAGGGATGTATGAGAATATTGCATTACTTGCACTAATACTTGCACAAATGTATTTACACACATCTCCCTCTCCAAGTTTTTTTTTTAATGTCTGAGAAATCAGCATGAGTCAGAAAAAGCCAGTCCATCATGGAATCCATGGAATCAGAAAGCTTTAATGACTTTCCTTATTTCAAGTTATCATCACTATGCAATGATGGTTAAAGTGTGCAGGACTCTCCCTAGGGCTTGGTGCTCTAAATTAAATGTACAGAAAAAGCAGGCAAACCCATTCTACTCCAGCAGGGATGCTGTGGCGTGGGAGAATTTGGTCTCCCCACTTGCTGCAGAGTGATGCGGGTAGATGATGCCAGCACCATGACCACCACCATCCACCTGCAGTTCAGATTGGCATATGTGAAACCGTCCAGTAGCTTCCTGCAACCTGTGAGGATTAAATTTCAATGGGGAGAAAGTGAGTTTAATCTCCAAGGAATCACTCTGAGAGGCTGCCCAGGGTGTTTCATGACCAGGAAGACTAAATTCATGATCTCTCCCTTACAGCCTCACACAACACTAGTCCCATTTTAAAAGAAGCAGAATTTAATTACCCCCATATAAAGTTTAACCATTCAGATTGGCCATAATCCAGTGACAAAAAGAAATGCTATATTTCATTAACTTGTTCAAATACACTAGAGGATTTACAGAATGCTGTTAATTATTTAACCAAAAATGAATATCCCATGACTTCTTCCACCATTTTTGTATTGATGGTATCACAACGAGCATAAACCAGTCTAGCTGCTGAGTTATTGACTGCCTGGGTGCAACATGCTAAGCTACCACAGCTGTGACGCACCAGTGGCTTAGAGGGCTGTCTGCACCTGGTGTGATGCCTGGATAGTTTATAAGCCACCCCAGCAAGCCATGGCTTGCTGTAGATTTTGCTTGACCTTGCATGGTTTGTTGTGTCCTGTGCTACATTCCAAAAAGCAACACAGTAGTTCCTTGCAACCCCACATTGCAAGTGCTTGAGAAAACCGGGGGTGGTAGCATGGGAAACACCCTTGGTGGCAGAATCTTCACATTTTGGGGCAGGGCGCTTAAGGGGCTCAGAGCTGCCCTTACCTTTGCAAGTGCTGATAATGCTAAGGCTCATCTCCTCCCTGTAAAAGCAAAGACCAGGCCAAAAGAGGAGATTTTCTCTTCTGAGGAGAATCCCCTGGATTTTTTGGGGGACAGATTAGAAGTCCAAGTGTTTCCTCCGTTTATCATTGGCCCAAGTTCCTTGCAACTTGGGGAGCAGCAAAACTTTGGGAAAATCGCAGTGTGGCATGAAAGACACATTTGACACATGCCAAGTGAATTCTTTCTTCCCGTTCCCATAACCAGATTCTCCTCTAGTTTCACAGGTTCCTCCCATACCAGCAGCAGGGCACTTGCAAAACTGTGGAAGGGGCAATTAAAGACAGCAGGTCTTCTGCCCCAAACCTATGGAGTAGGCAAGAATTGCCCCTTTCTGCAGAACTTGCCTTAGGTTTGTAAGGAGCTGCCTACTTTTGATGGGTCCTTGCAAAGTGAAGGGAGGGGGGGAATGGTCACCTGCAGCCTGTGCTAGGCACTGGAGATGGTGGACAACTGGTGATTTTGGCCAGCAGCAACCCACCCTGGCTAGTAGCCTGCCTCAGGATCTCCTGGGAGGTGCAAATAGGGCAGTTCAGGGAATGAATGAATGAATGAATGTATACATATGAGTGCTTTCCTGTATAAAGAAATTTAAAATGGGGGACTATGGGAAACCCATCCAAGGTACTACTGTGGGTCCTTAGAGGGGTGCCACACTGATGTTTCCGTTGGGATCCTGAAGGACTTAACAGCCTACTTTTCATCCTTAAAGTCAAGCTGTAGTGGGGAAGGGGAGGGGGAACCTGTGGTGTCTCCTGCGTTACTTGTAAGGGGACGGAGGAGGTGGCTCTGGAGCCATGATGGACCTTATTATCTGTGGGGTAATCATGGCCTCTGGGACAAAGAAGCCACTGTGTGTGGCTTGCAAGCCAAAGGTTTCAAGCGTCATGCTATTACAAGCCGTTTCTCAGCAGAATGCATTGCATGCGTACTCTGTACTAACATCCACATCAAATTCCACAGCAAGAACAGAAGAATTCTCCAAGCTGTGTAAATTCTGCACACTTGCATTCCTCTTATTCTTCATATCTATTATATAAGGTTACGTCTGTTAATCTTGCGCTGGGACAAAAAGCTGTAGTCAAAAGGCACTGGCCTTTTGACTATTGGAAACCTTTTTCAACAACTCTGCTAGCATCTGAAATTTCCCCAGGTACTACTAATTTTTTCAAGCATGTCTTCCCAATCATGAAACACATGCCTTTTAAATTTAACAATACAGAAGGCTGGCTTTCTTAGGAAGTTGAATTCTGTCTGTGAGCCTTTCAGCTTCCAGGAATATAGTGCATGTGCACAAAATGACTTTTGGTGATCACCAGCTAGGTTAACAATTCTGGACGAATAAGTGTTTCAGTGTGTGCATGTGTGTGGGTTAAGAATTGTGCTAACTGCCAAGTTTATCCCAGCAGCAGCTCTTCCTGCTTATGAAGTGCTACAGGTTGAGGTGGGTCTTGGAGAATGGGTAGGTGCTTCTCCTGTTCCCCATCTCCCTGTTCCCCATTACCAGCAACAGTGCTTCCTGCTTAGGGAGATCTGAATGAATGTTTTCCTGCACTTGGAGGTCCACTTTGGGGAGGGCACTGTTAGGGGAGGTTTAGAGTTAGGGAAAGGATGGGTAGAG